TTTGGGCTTAGAAGCTACACAGAATGGGATATGGTTGGAATGGGAGACCACCAAGGAATATCAAGAGTAGAAGCTATCCCTGGGAAGTAAAAAAAAAAAAAAAATCCCAGAAGAAGGCAATAGCAAAAATCCTCCATACTGTTGCAGAAAAGTCCTGCATAGATGCATTCATCAAAATCATCCAAAGTTGAACTTCACTTGAAGGAGACTAATAGACTTGGTTGCCTGGAAATCAAAATTAAGTTAATTAAAATCAAAATTTTAATTAAACTAAAAAAGATGGAGGGCAGATATAACCACATAGCCATAGAGGTGGTTTTTGCCTTCCTTGCCATCTTTTATTCTTGTCTCTTACTGCTTTTACTTGTGAGCCACCCAGAGTTGTTGGGAGTCGGGTGACATACAGATCTAATGAATAAATAAATAAATAAGCAAGCCAGCAAGCCCTGGCAATTGCTGAAGTATGCTAACAGCTGTGGACAGACCAAGAGAAATGTGTACACCGTGGAAGCGGGACTGATTGATTGATTAGATTAGATTAGATTAGATTAGATTAGATTAGATTAGATTAGATTTATATCTTGCTTTTCTTCCAGGAGAAGGAAGGGTACATTGTACTCCCTTCTCAAAATTGCATTCCTGTAACAACAGCCCTATGTGGTAGGCCATAGGGAGATCCAAAGAAGTTAAGATGTTGATCACAGCAGTTGAAGCTCCATACTTTGCTCTTGGGACTGTGTGAGTTTCTATGGCTAAATAGGGTTTGAACTTGATTTCCCTGCTCCTAATCTGACATTGTTACAATAAGTAGTAAGAACTAGGAAGAAGCAGGAGGATGTCTTAAGGGAGAAAATGCTTTCTAGACTTTGGAAATAGTTCAGATTTGTATTTAAAAGAAAAGAGAAAAGCCCTGTTCCTTTAACATCTGTGTTAGGGGCACAACAGGATTGCTTGCCTTTACATGTGGCATGTCACTCCAAGCAATTCTTATGAGTGACTAATATATACCCATTTCCCGCCCTCCCTCCCAGATGTTTTCCAACATCGATATGGGGAATATTCTATCTATTGATGTTAGTCTTTCTTTAGCTGTTTAATACCCAGGATCCCTACCCATAATGACATCTACCTTGCTGCTAGAACAATGGCAATATTACTGCTAGTAATAGTATCCCAATGCTGACTATGTTATTTGGACGTGAACAATCAGAAAAAATGTCCTTCCTCTACAGTTTTTCTTCTTTCTCCAGGACGTATGCTCCTGACATCTGCTATTGTTTCCGTTTGAGGTCCTAACACATATGGCTTGGCTTGGCAAAATTTTGCATATTAGTTGGCAATATACTATTTGGCAAAGGTGGCAGGCACCTCACAGAGCTGAAATGAAAGGTCATACAGTAGGAGAACATTGGTCATTACTTAGTTTATTATTATCTTTTCATTTTATGTGCAGCAATGAGGAAAGATACCTCTATGTTGTTTTGTTTCTTTAAATATTTGCCTTAAATGCAAAATAAATTGACTAGCATCTTACAGGAAAGGGTTTAGTTTGGCCCTGGATTACAGATAGCTCTGGAAGTCAGAACATTAAATTTGCCTGCACAAAGTAAAGGATCTGGGAGATGGGAAAATTGAAAGCAGAAACATCCACAAAGTGGGCCCCCCCCCAAAAAAAATCTAGATGGGCATCAAACTGTGTGATCAAAGACCTACCCTATTTTACTTGGGTTGCCCCTGATTGAAAGCCTGCTTTGTAAATAGTTTTGAAAGTTGTTCACATACATTGTTAATAGGTTTATATAGGCAGGCTGGGTCTATGTTGTTCTCTACAAAGATAGAGGAATCATCTCTACCATTGGCAGATGTAGGATGTCATCAAACTAATTGTTATTTGATTTATTATTGTTGTATTTTCTGCCTATGTGCTAAAATAACTCAACCAGCCTTGGAGGCAGGCATGTTATTTACTACTATGCTTCAGACTGTGAGATTATCTTACACACTGGGAATTATGGTACCTGAAGTTCAGTAACTCTGGAGGGTACCAGGTTGGGGAAAATGACATATTACTCTAAAAATGATGGTTATTTTGAGCAACCAAATGGCTTTATTGGCCTGGTAGATATGTTTAGCACCCTACAGCCAGTGTTTTAGAACTTATCTGATAAGGAGTTCCCACCAAGAAATGCTGAGTATGTACACTAAACTACATAATCTGAACAATTTATCAGTATCATAGATATGACGCACAGTAGCATAGATAATTAGCTTTTCTTTGTTTCACTGGGATGTTTTTCCTAAGACTTTCAAGATAAGAAATATATTTTATTTGTGTGTGTGTGTGTGTGTGTGTGTATGTATCCTATTCACTATGTGCTAGGCCAGTACATCATAAATGCACTTTATAAATATTCAATACTTTCATACTTTAAAACTTTTTAAAAATCAAATATTTTTCTAACTTTGCAAATTGGATTGTTACTGTTTTTTGTTTGCTTGTAGTGAGAGGGATAATCTCACTTTCCCTTAAATTAATGTTACTCAGATTAAGAGAATATTTGTTTAGGTATGGAAGGGACATCAAAAAACAATAAATCTTATTAATTGCATTCACTCCAGTATGAGTGTGTTTGTGTGTGTGTTACAGAATCCTAGATGCTCAAAGGTTAACTATCATACTTTTGTAATCCTGCATACAATTTTGGAAACCAGAACTCACAAAAGCTAAACCAGCAATCTGCTACCACATCTGATTTATTCTAGCAAAATAGTGCTTGCTTTCCATTTGCTATTTATATTGCACTGAGCTGTTTTGATTGTGAAAGCCATTTTAATTTCAGTGGGGTACAAGTATAACAAACAAACATAGTTTGCCTTGGTTGATTTTGGTTTATAAAATATAGCTTAGGTTTAGCTTCAGGTGTGAAACAGACACCATGGCTTATTCAGCAAACTCCAGTTAAAAGAAATAACACCTTTGCTGATATGTGAATCCTGTCAATGAATTTAATACACCTTATTTCCTGGTAAGTATGTAACAATCAGTATTAACTCTGTACAATGGGAAGTGACCCCAGTCTGTTCTTTCATGACTACTCTACTTTCTGGGCATTAGACAGAGGGCTGCAGGAAATTTTCTTCCTCTCCTATAGAGAGGTTTTATAATGGAGTGACATCACCTAACATCTAGCATCTTACAACATTCTATATTCTTGGATACTTTATGTCACCAATAAATTAAGAACTAACATGATTCCTGAAAGATTCATCCAAAAGGTACCTGGCAGCATTGTACTAAATACTCACAGGGAGTTCAGTGGTCATCCAAAATGCTGATCCATAATGCTATTTGCTTACTTTTGGCTTTACCTAATGGGTGAACTCAGCTGTTGTGGTTGTAGGCCCACATGACGCCCTATATTTCATTTTGCAGCTCCTGAACCAGCTATGATTGGGACCCCAAATTTTAGAGGGGAAACATCCATGACAGAATTCTCTTGTGATGGATGTTCAGCCGGCCATCATATTCTCTTCTTATAGAAAGCAACTAAAGGCATACCTGTTCATCCAGATTTTTGGGAGCCAGAAGATGGTTTGCCCATTACAGTACTTGGCTTTTCTACTTTTTAAAAATTAACTTTGGCCTAATTTTTGCATGTATTTTTTAAAGAATCATTTTACTGCAATGGTTTTCCTTAAAACTTTTCAAAAAATATTTTCCTATAAACTGTTCTGGGTTCTCTGGAAGAGTAGCTTAGAAATAAAATAAATACATACATTTCCAGTAGGACAATTTTATGCTACTTTGTAAAGCATAGGACCACCAGATCAGGCATACAAAAGTCCAGATAAGTACACGATGGCAGCAGAGATACAGAAAACTCACGCTACATCTAGAAGTCACCTGGATTTTTAAAAAGTCACCACATATAAAATTATAAAATACATGTACCAAGCCTCTGTTAGGCTTAATTTTACTACAGTTTTACCATCAAGCACCCCCCCCCCCAAAAAAAGAAAAAATATAAAGGTCCAAAATTCTGGGTCAATTACTATAGTGATTTCACCAGGTCACTTTGTGGTGATTAACCAAAATAAAATAAAATAAAAAATCCTGCTATATGTTTAAAGTGTAGCTGTCAATGGCAAAAAAAAAAAAAGATGTTCTTCCCTAGTTTATATCTTTGGTGAACCCAGGCAACTGAGATTTATTCAGTGAAAATGTGATTCAGCAATCACTTAAATCCTGTTAATCATCATCATTCCTTTCCTTACAGGTGAATATAAATTAGCCTTAAAAAGCTATTGGAGGCCAAAGTTTCTACCTTTGCTCTACAGAATTCACAAGTGACATCTGGCCTATAGTCCTTGCAAAGGATTTAGAAAGTTGGCTTCAGGTAATTTGGTCATGCTCTTCTGATAAATGTATTCTTCCTTACAGATTCCATAAATTGCTATGGAACTCATCCAAGGACTATATACTTAAATTATACTTGTCTTTCAGTTCCGGTAGTATAGCTGGTGGAATTGATATCTGGTGCCACTGATCCATAAATATGAAGCAATGATTCTAAGCATTTACTTTTCTGTTTCCTGCTGTTTTAATCCCAGTTTATGAAGTTAACCAAAATAGGTTTAAAGGGTTGCAAATCTAACCTCTGCTTCAGAACAATCACTCTTCAAACTTGGTTAAATTTCTGAGTGAAGAAGCCTTCTCAGACCCATTCTAAGGTACAGAAAATCTTGATAAAAAGACTATAATGTGACTAGAATCTGTTTTATCTTAGAAGAAAAAGAACAAATGCAGAGCCTTCACTGGTGAATATACCTCTTATCTCATGTGTTAATGTAAACACTGTAACAATAAAGAACAAGATTTATTTTTAACTTCCCTTGACTGAAGCCTCTGTTGCAATGACTAAAGGTGACAGTTTAGAGAAATATTAATCAGATACATCTACTTAAAGCTGAATCAATTTTTTTTAAATTATTTTTCTACAGAAAAGCTAAATTGCTAAGCCAGGGCAATGAAGACGATCAGGGAATTCTTGGTCTACCGCCGGTTCCTTCTCATTATTTTTACTCCCCTTCTGCTGCTTCCATTACCTCTCATCATCAGAACCAAAGTAAGTATAAACTGTAGAGCTTTTTCAGTCATTCCAACATGGGGCTGTTTAGATATGCTTGATTGCAGCTGGCGTGACCAGCATATTGAGATGCAGAGATTTAGAAAGGTTGACCTGTATATTTATGTTGAACTGTTTTATTTGGTTATATCACTGACTTCCAATATTTTACATTGATCTCAAAATGAAACTCCATACAGCAATATAATATATGTGTGACGAGAAGGATTACGGCTCTTTTTCTGATTTTTCTCGATGTGGTTTTGATAGATAAACTGAAAAACCAGCAATCAAAATATTTCATATCATTGGAAATCACAGTTCCTTACAAACTCCTGGAGACTGTGATTGGTTTACTGTTCATTTGGTCCTTGTCCTCATCATGAGATATCCGCTAAGATCTAAGCAACTATACTAACCATGAGAAAAATGCTAAAATCTATGTAAGGACAATACCTTTATTAAGCCAACCAAAAGAGCATGTAAACTTTTGAGTTCTCCAGAATTTGTGGTAAAGTTAACAGTAAAACAGTAAAACAGTTGAGAAGGGATGGGAAATGGAGGTAGGAAGGAATAAAACTAGCTGCTGTTGACACTATGTATTGGTTTCACACTTCAGCAAAGCATAATTTAACTTATATCTTTATGGTTTAGCATGTTGATATCTGTAGCCATTATGATTTATAAACCATGGCTTGTGACTCAGTTTTTTGTAGAAACCCACTCAGTTGTGGCTTAGTCAATAAAGCATGGTTAAAGCAGACCTCGACTTACTGTACTGTACTAGTCACACAGTGACAAGTCTAAAATATGTTTAGCTGTATGTACAATATGACTAGGAACTGTGGAAGTTTCAAACTACAACCAAAGCAACAGGGATGAAAAGACTTACAAAGGGGATCCCCCGTTTTGCAAGTATAAAATCCAATAGGAATGTCAGTATTCCCATCGTAATAGAATGAAATAAATAAAAAGATGAAAATCACTTTTACAATTGCTGTCATGTATTCCAGGGAGTATTCCCTACCCTGACTCCTAGTTTCCATATTCAGACAAGGAACCATGCTAGCAGTATGATGGAGGAAAACCGCATGAACCCTTCTTCCCCAATGCAGACATTTTCATGAATCTGAATGGTTAAATTCTAGTTTGTACGATTTGTATTCCACAAGAAAAGTGTCAAGTAGGCCTGATGAGCTATCATGGGGATCTACGCAAGCTTCAAACTTTCTTTCCTGGGCTGGGTTTTATTTTCCTTTGAAACAATAGCCTTTTCCTTGTGCTTCTACATACCTGTTTTCTGAAGAGTTTTCTCAGTATCCCTTCCCTCTTTTTGATATGCCAAACTGTCTGCCACTCATTCTAATTTCCAAACAAAATGCCATGCCTGTGGGCAATTGTATGAAGACTGCTGGCAGATGGAATTCAGCAGGTATTGATTTTTTTTTCAATGCACCAGATGCTTTCAATATTAATAAATCAATGCACTCCAAGTTCTGCATGCATCAGTGGCTGACACATGAGGGCCATGGTACTAGTAGATTGAAGCTCAGGTGTGTGGCAACTGCATTCTTGAGTCTAGGCATTTAGAAAACAATGCAGATGTTATATATAAATGCAATATTTTCTGTTAAATGTCTTCTTAATGACAGAAAGTTAAACTAAGCAGATAACAGCAGCTTATTAACTGGGCAAGCATGGCTTTTTATCTGGCAAGGTGATCAAGGCACTTGTCTGATGTTAATAATGTTAATGAGTGAATTTTTGTTTCCATGAAATTTTACGACAAAACAGCCACTTGATTTTTGAGAAGCTGTCAACTCTCAGCCTGGTCAATGGCTGTGCCAGTTTTTATTGGCTATATACTTTCCCCCAGCTTTTTACATCTATATATTTTCATAGTACTGCACAGTTCCTTTAACTTCCAAGGGAAGAAATAAACCTCCCCTAATGCTGATTTTTCCTCCATCATAATTAGTCATAACAGCATTTTCAGAGAAGATCTTTTGAGAACAAATAATAGACTCTGAAGATTGAGAGGTAAACCTATCACATTCATGCAGTGTTTTTTTTTTTCTCTACACCTCTTATGTCTCTTATTAGATATGTTTTCATGCATCAATATATATTATCAGACATACTGTACGTCAGGCAATACAGATGTCTATTTGGATATACAGATGGATTGGTGTATACATAGAGCAACATATCTGGGGGAGGAACCTGTGTTAACATATGCAACTGACATGTGTGAAGCAGAGTTACATCCTATATTTGTGGAAGCTGGTATAATTTATCCCATATACATCCATAATATGGTTGGAGGGGCACACTTTGAGCATGTTAAGTTAGTAAACATTGGAAATATGATATAGTACTATGAATGGCAAAGATAGCAGTAAAGAAGCCTATAACATATTGAGCTGTGGCCTGGGAGCTATCAATCTTAATTTTTGTTCGTTTTTCAGATTGTATTGATTTATCAAGTTCAGATTGGTTCCCTTGAATTTTTTTTAAAGTTTGCAGTAAAATGTGCATGCATTTAATGCCTATTTCTTTAAGCATCCATTTTTTGCTTGTATTTTGTCTCTAACATGCATAATATTTGCAAATATTCTTCACTATTATGAGCAATTTTTATATTATTTTCACAAATGTATATTTTTGTAAGCAATTTTTTCATTCAGGGGAGTTAGCGTTCTAAATGTTTGTGCCACACAACCTGCAAAACTAGCTGTGTTTGTGTATTAATTCAAACATGTTAACTGAAATAAGTGGTTATAGATTTACTAGATGTGGGCTGAAAAATTCCAGATGATCGTGAGATGGCAGCAAAGAGATATCCAGATAACTTTATCCATTTTACTATCTTAGAGGCCATCCAGATTTTTGCAACCCAAATCTGGTAGCCCTAAATTTGCATTTGAAAATTTTAAATTTAAATACCTGTATCCCCCATCACATTTGAGGGTTTCCTTATCCATGGGCACAGCTGTAGTATTCATCTCTCAGTATGATTTACTACTGGTCTTTCTATAATTTTCTAAAAAGCAATCTTTCACATCATTTAAGTATAACGTTGGTACCAGAGCTCTGATTCTTAGTAATTCTAAAGTTCATAAGTCATCAGTAATTAAAACTATGTAGTAAAATTTTGGATGGCATCTTAAGTAATTAATCATTGCTTGAGAAATATGTCCTAAATATGTATGACTAGCTACAAAAGACAAGTAGGCTCCTGCCAAACATTCTAGGTCCATAATGGTATATCCATTATTATATTTACTTTTTAGAATAGAATTCTGTAAAAATGGAAGTGTTATAGAAATGAGATTTCATTACAGCCTTTAAAAAAAATTGCATGCAATAAAATAAGAGATGAATAAATTTCTCTTGTTTACCATCTCGCTGAAATGTAGCTGTGCCTAAGAGATGGATAATATAGTTTCAGGCAGAGAGAAAAACTCTGCTCAGTCTGTTATTTAAATGACTAATCTTTCCGGCTAATCTTTCTTCTAGTGTACCGTATGTGCACAAAGATCGTCTGAGGCATCCTTCATGTGGTGGGGAAAAAAAGTTGGCTGCAGAAGCTTTAATATGTATATAATTTGTCTTTGCTTTGGTTTGCTTAAGATTTCTTTACAACTTTAGTGAAAGCTGGGAATGAGTAGTAGTTTCCTGTTTTTAATTACCACACTGTGGCACAATCTGTTGCAGAGGGCTAAGGATGTGGAAAGCCAGACAGAATGTTCAATCTTGAAAAATGGCTCTTCCAGTCCTCTTCACACATATAGCATGGAGACTGCCCTGTGCATTTACCCGCAGTAGGTTTTAGAAGGGCAAATTGAGAAAACAGGTAGAAATATTCTCAACTCCATTTCGGAGACTGTTTTACTCCTATCCGGATCACCAGTTTTATATGGTAGATCTCAGCCCATATATGTAGCCTCCAGCAGATGAGAAGGTTATGAGAATGACTTCAAAATGCTGGTGTCCTAGGGCATTCATTTTTGTAATCACAGTTGTTTGTTTCGAAGACAAAGCTTAAGCAAAAAAAAAAAAAAATAGTAACACCATGGAAGCACATCCCCAGAATACAAATCTTATATCATTGAAACCAAAATGAGGACAGTTGGCCTACAGATTGAAAGTTGCCATCAGCACAATATTTTTTAAATCACTTCTATATAGTTGTCAAGCTAACTGCCTGGAGGAGTCCATATTGGTCACCAGGACTGGAGCTTTTTCATGAAATCACTTGATTTTATTCCAAATAAAGGTTTTTCCCTTTCAGTAAGATAATGCAAAAGTTCATATGTATTCAAATTGGGAGAAGGATGTCATGTTTAACTTCGTACATGTAGAGGTTGCATCAGCTTCTGTTTACTGAAGGATTCATTGAAATGTGCCATTTGACCAAGGTGCCTAAACTTTTGCATACAACTGTATATTTGGAATTTTCTTTTCTTTTGGGATCTTTAGATCTTTTCATTTGACTACATATTATCTAATGTAAATCTGATTTTTCAATTATGTATTTGTTCTAGGAAGCAGAATGTGCATACACATTGTTCGTGGTTGCTATCTTCTGGCTTACCGAAGCTTTGCCTCTGGCTGTTTCAGCGTTAATTCCTGCTTTAATGTTTCCGCTGTTTGGAATATTGGCTTCGAAAAAGGTATATTCCTTCTGTTCTTTTTCTTTTCTCTACTGTTATTCCAGCACTCAGTCTATTTATATTTCAAAGATTACAGTGCATTTACTTTTGTTTATCAGATGTTCTTTTATAATATGCCTAATGCTAAAAGGAAGGCCATGAGATCTGAGCTGCAAAAATCCAGATCACCACTGGGGAGCAACAAAGATTCACAACACTGATTCTTTGCTGCCACCTACTTGCTGTTTGTAGACCCAATCACATAATGCTACTAACAGGCCTTGTGTTCACTTAGAGCACATCTTAAAGCCATCCTGACTTGCACTTATTTCTGAGTTAGAGGTGATTGTGAGGCAGTACTTTATGAATGAGAGCCAGCTTGGTGCAGTGGGTTAAAAAATACCAGGCTAAAAACCAGGAAACTGAGTTCTAGTCCCACTTGAGGCATGAAGCCTCTGGGTGACCTTGGACCAATCACTCTCTGTCAGCCCAAGGAAGGAGGCAAGGGCAAACCATTTCCAAAAATCTTGCCAGGCAAACCGCAAGAACATGGTAGGGTGACTGACAGGATGTGCTATGATTCTTGTTTGCTTGTGATACTAAAAAAAATTCACTTTTCATGATTTGTGAACTCAGCTATAGAAGGAGCCTGACATCACTGACTAGACAACCAAAATACTAGGAAGTGGCATTCAGACAGCTAAGAAAAGTAGGAATGGAAATGACTTCCTACGCTCATAATCTAAATTTCTCCTACAATTCCCTAGTTCTCACTAGCTCAGTTTATTTGTCACTTCTTGTACTTCCAACAGATTATGGGGACTGTGGCAGGCAGTCTGCATCATTTAGTTTTTTTCCCAAACTGCTTCATATATTTTTGATTGTAAAAGCCCTCTTTTTATTCCAAATGAACCAATGTGTTTTGTGCTTTGAGTAGCAAAAGTTTAAAAGTATGCCCTTAGCTAATAAAACAAATTTTGATTTTTAGGTGGCATCCGCTTATTTTAGAGATTTTCATCTGTTATTGACTGGCATAATTTGCCTGGCAACATCAATAGAAAAATGGAATTTGCACAAGAGAATTGCCCTGAGAATGGTGATGCTGGTGGGTGTTAACCCTGCATGGTACGTAGCATATATATATATATAAAAAAACAAAGTGCCACGAAAGCTCTTTTGGCTCAGAAATAACTCTGCTTTGCAGGTCAATTGCCACCTCTTTTCTCGACATTTCATTGTCCATTAGCATCCGTGCACTGGAAGGGAATTCAACAGGTGCTGCTTTGGTATCTGCTGGATTTTTTTTTTCTTCAGTTCAACTGTTACAGAAGGACTGTGAGGCATTGCCTGTTTACATGCCAGACTTACTGCTCTGTTTGGCTGCTAAAGAGATTCATTAAGACCAGCCTCTTGCTGAAATTTAATTATACGTATCACTGGGGCGAGAAGACGAGTTGCACATGAAATGCTTCTGTTATTGACAACAACGGCGCATGGCTTGGAACAAAACAGCAGACGAACTAGTGAACAACTCTGACTCATCCTTCTTAATGGCTGAGGTTAGGCAACCCACGAGATCTTTCATACACTGCATCACTATTATTCAGTTTATAGTTTAGGTAGTTCCAGCAGCAGTTTCAGACTCAGAGGAATATTCTGCCTTTTTCCCAATTTGCGGACTGTTCTTACAAATAAGAAATTAAACCCATGCTGTGCTCTTTTTTATTGCTCTCAAGGAGTCAGATGGCCCCTACTGTCTCTTGTCAATCCCATCAGCAAGTCAAAAAAGAGTCTGTAAGCACAGCAGGCTCCCTGAGTTTGAATTGCCAGCGGCTGCTGTGAGGGGGAAGCAGTAAGCTGTCACTTACCTCTTTGATTGCAAATTAGCAACGTTAGCTAAAGCACTAGCGCTTCCCCTCCTGATGTTTGAAACCACTGTAAGAGCTGGTGGATGTGCTGATGCATCCCTATCAGCAAACCTAGACGCATACAACACACGTAAAAAAGAGGTGGGGCTTCAATCGCACAATCACAGCAGCCATCTTGCTATTTTGTGCACCGACATGTGCATGTGGACATTCCTGCTGGACACCATGGAATGGATCCAGACTTAGCCACAAATGGCTAGATGTCATTATCTATCTAGTAAGCTAAGCAGGGTTAGACCTGGGTAGTACTGGCATGAGAGGTCACCAGGAAACCCCATGCCAATCTAGAATAGACTAAAAATGGAAGAGGGGAGTGGGAAATCACTTTTATATTGCTGCCAAAAAAAACCTCCCTGTCCATGTAGTCCCCCAGGAGCTGAGCTAGGGATGGTGCTGTTTTCTCTGTCTTAGAAGACCCCCTCTTACACCACAGCCTACCCATTGAGCGGGATCTCTAGTGTTTCATGAAGCATGTTTATGGGGCTGGAAGGGATGCTATAGGGAGGAGAGGTTGGGGAGTTCCATTTCCACTAATCTAGTTATGCGCGCCTCAATTTGAATCTAACCCAACGTTTGAAGTGGTATGATTCCTTCCATGATTAAAAATACAACAGTACAACTTTTATACCTATCTTCTCTATACCTATCTTCTCTTTAAGCTGCAATTCTATATACATTCACATGGGAATAACCTCCAGTAGTTTCAGCACTTACGTTTACTAGCTATATAAATTACACATTTAATTTTACATTTAATGTAAATGTACTAGCTACACACTTAATTTACAATCTATGTAAATTACACAATACTGTAATTGGTTTCTTGAGACCCAATTAAATCATGTAACATGTACAACAACCCTTTATTTCTCTTTGTTTATTTCACATTATATCTTCACATTAATACAAAATATATTTCAGACTTGAGAGTAATTTATTGGGCTATATTTTTTATTAAACACATATAGACTTGCCCAGTTATTCCAATGTCTAGAATTACAGCCTAAACCCCACAGCTTTATAATTACAAATAAGTCAAAAGTTCAGATAGACAACAGAAAAATAAATAATAAGTTACCTAGAATTTTCTTCTTAATCTGCTTGGGATGTCTTCATATTATTAAAAAAATATTTAGATGCAGAATAAAACACAGAAGTACCGATGATTTAATGCTCCATCTAGAGCCTCACATGTATCCACATGTCTTCTCCAATCATACAAGTGAGTGAGTGAGTGAACAAGTCACAAAGTTTTAATTTATTATACTTTTCCATTTAGTTTGGTCTGGGAAGCTGTACTAAAGAAATGTTATAATGATAATAAGCTACAACTTGCCCCATGCATCCTTTCTTATCATTTGTAATGACTTTTCCCAGAGGGAAGCTAAATAAATTGATCTTTTTGATGCTTATAATATGGTTTTGGGGATTAAACATATTTGAAATTCCTTGCACTGGGAATGGCATATTCATCATAATTGACTTGTGCCTTTGAATTGTTCATTCCTGCAACCATTCTTCTTCTCAGCCTCCATACCTTGATGCTTATATGTCTTATATTTTATCAAGTCAGCATTTGGATAAAAAACGTATTTTACAAACTTTTCTGTAAGAGAAATAGAGTATAATTTTGTCTTCTTATGATATTTAATTCAATTCAATTGAATCAAATTAGTTTGCTGAATAGGCTGGGAAGGGTTTTTTATTATGCAGTGATGGGATCATTGACATCAGTGGTAAACTTGTCAATGCACTCAAAATTGTTGGCAGCAAATTGCTACTGCAATTTCACAGTGGGGTATTTAATGGGGAATTATTGCCTTTAGTGGTATTCTTCAATATTACTGAGTAAGCTATTACCAACTTTAACAGAAGTTTTAAAATAAAGTTTTATTTTAGAAGTTATCAATACATGCATATATGTTAGACACTAGAAAAAGACTCTGTTCACTACGGTTTGTGAATGACAGATTCAATGTTTATATATAGCAACAATGGAGAAAGTGACAGTAAGTATTTATGGAAGAACTGGAAATTGAAATGTAATGAACATCACTGATTATGGGTTATTTGAATAGTAACTGGGGTTTTATTAGATAGAATTTTGGTTTTGCTATAATGAAGTTATTTGTTAAGTTATATTGTTTATACTATTGCACTTACTGTAAGCAAATAGCATTTTACAAACATTCATAAAGCAAAGCCTATGGACACTGCCAATGTCTAGCACTTCTAAGGACCCAATGTCCTTATTATAAATTATAATCCTCAACTGTTTAAATATGATGATTTTAATTTCAAAAATGTCAGCTTTGCTTCTTTGGGAGAGTAATGCATTGTGAATGGTGTGTAGGCGCATCAGATGTATTCATCCTGAATACTATTGAAACTGTCAAAGAGTACATCTACATTTTTTAAAACAAGCTGAACAGGTCATGGTATATATACCTGGAGACACAATTTCACAAATGCAGAAATATTGCTGCCCAGAAATCTCCTTTTCATTTTTATGACTAATGGTCAAAACGATAAAATAAATTGACTGAGTGTCCATTTCATTTCATAAGGAATACTAAAATGTTTGAAATGATGTCTCTAACACTCTTTCCAACTCTCAGCTCATGGCCCACCTAACTGTCAAATCTATCAAGCTACCCCGGATAAAGTATTCTCTCCAATTCAGTGCCTCTACAAATTTGTAAAGGGAGAACATGCATGTGGTTTTATTTGTTTGCTGGTGGCTGGTCTTATTACACAGACTTTATGATTTAGAGGGAAAAGTACCAAAATGTACTGTTTTCAAGAAACAGTGCTCTATTGCTCTTTGCTGTGCTGGTAATCAGTTAGATGTTCAGTGAAGTGTGTTTGTGAGCCGATGTATGTGCTCGTGTGTATGTGTGCATAGATTGATAATGAAATATGATTTAGACACTTTGTGAACTGAGATATTAGGAAAGAAAGGCAGCTGCCTGGCAGGATTTATGGTTAGAGAATTATATGAATGTTTATGCTGTATAGCAGAGATGAATGACCTTTTGGAGGTCAAGGGCTGTGCAGCGCTTTGGAGTTAAAGGACTAATGAGAGCCACAGAGTGGGTGAGGACATGTAAGCATGTGGGTTTGGAAGATGCCTTGGGGCTTCTATTTTTTAATTGTGACTTGCCTGTCACAAGCAAAATTGCAAATTTCATCTGTTTCCCATCTCAAAATAGAAAGAAAGAAACTTTGCCTTTAGTTTTCAGCTGAGTTGGAGGGGGCTCTAAGAGCTACCAAAATGAGAAGTTAGGGGTTGCTTCTGATCCTGGGGAGCAGAGTGTATGGATTCATTAAAAAGTTCATTGAAATATCCACAATGTGGAATATATGTTGAAATTGCCTTTCCCATAAAAGCAATACATTCCCATACTTTACATGAGAGAAGCATAGAAAGTTCCCCTACAGACAGACCACTAGTTCCTCTAGTCCAGTGTTCCTCAACCTTGGGAACTTTAAGAGGTCTGGACTTCAACTCCCAGAATTCCCCAGCCAGCATGGCTGGCTGGGGAA